GCTGTCACCTCAGTGGGTCATGGCATGAGAGGGGTTTGCAGTCAGACTTTCTGAACTGACAAAGGAATCCCCATCTCTGTCGCTGTAGAAATGTCTCTGTTCCATACTGCAAGTGTCATATGAATCAGCATTCTCACCTGGATGTGTAAATCAGGTGTGCTCTATATCCCTCCTGAGCCTGGAAATCACTTCTCTACATGCTTCGTTCCCATCCTCACTTTTCCCAAAACACTCATGAGTGAGCATATTCAGCACCTTCCTGAAACAGTAGAACAGCCGGGAAGGAAAACAGTAAATTGCGAGGAGTAGACGAGCATTTGAAATCATCGAAGCACTCCTTAGCACCCACCTGCCCCATTAAACTAGTTAGTCTTTTCCCTTCACGTTACTAACATGTCAAGCATCCACAAGAACAAATGCCAGCATTTAGCAATGGTGCAAGTGTTGGAGGGAGACACTTGAAAGACTGAGCTCCACATCAGGTTTCTCTCCCGACACTTGCTCTAGAGACCCCATTTCCTTTGGGGACAGGAGCCTTTCAGCATCTTGAGGAACTCCATGGGCTGAACAAGTTCAGCAGAGGCCACAGTCAGGGCATGTGAAAGGCGAGAGTGTCTGGTTCTCTGAGACTCACATCACGTTCATTTTCCTTTCCAAGGGAAGAACAAGGAACAGGGAAAGTGATGAACAAAGCACAACAAATGACACCAGTCTGGCAGTGGTGATAAAGGAGAGCAGTGGGGAGCTCAGATCTCTGCAGCTTCTCATTGATGGGCCATTAGGAAACTGCTGTGAAGTGGCTCAGGCCGAGCGCTGCCATTGGCAAGAAGGGACAAGTGGAACAGAAGGATAAAGGAGGTGTGAAGTTGATTTATGGGATTAGGGAGCACAAATAATGGAATGCTTCTGAATCTGTGCAGTCTTGATCGTCGGAGTGGTCCAAAGGTCGTCTGGATTTGGGGATTAGCAGTGACCTCACCGAGCTGAGGACACCTCGGTAAGGTGAGAAAGCCCAGTGGGGAAGAAGCCCCTGAGCTGCCAAGTGCCCAGGTCTGGCTGTGCAGCAGAGCTGGCCGTTCCAGCTGCGGAGGTGAGGACTCCACTGCGAGCTGAGCGGGAACAGCCCCTTGCCATGAGCGAGGCCCCAGAGGCACGGAATGCTCCCGGTGCCGACGGCTGAGGGAGCCTCGGCGGCTGCTGCTGGAGCAGCGACAAACGCACAAGGAGCTTTTCAGGCGCTGCAAGGCCAGGGCATTGCTCTGCCTGCTCCCGCCGCTGCTGCCTTTGCTCCCGCCCAGAGCCGCTCCCGGCAGCTCCGTTCTCTCGGCGCTGCCGCGTGCTTTCGGACTCTTCCTCACTCAGCAAACACGCAGCTCGCTCTCGGCATGCACCTCGCATC